ATATTTTATATACCAAGCATTATAAACTTATTTTTCTGTTTCATTCCTTATAAAAATATAATTCTTAAATTTGGATTAATGTTTCACTTGTAAGATTGAGCGATAACAATGATCAATACACTTATTTACATATTGTTTTATTTATGAACTTATATACTCACACTTTGACATTGATTTATTTTTATTTCTCTTGGGTCTTGTTATAAAAATGGCATCAAAATCATAGTAAAAGTTACATATCTTAGCATATTGGGCTATCACAGTTTAAACTAGAAATTTCAGCTAATTTTTTGTCCTTGATTATTTTTAAGTTCATATCTATATAGGATATAGTTTATTGTTTTAAATTTTGAAAATATTTGAGGTATAAAACATGCCAGCATCCTAACTCATCTATTGTACCTAGTAGGCTACTTAATAGATATCTTGTGGATGTCTGTGGCCCTATGCTAAGTGGTATAGTGAATGTGTGCCTTATATTTTCACATCATTGATGATGTCACAACTCATTTATTATGAATTCTAAGTGGGAAGGAGGAAGCAAGCCTTTATTTTTTATATTATCTTCCTTGTTACTTACTTTTTTTCTTCATTGTTTTACTAGCAATCTTTGGTTTCTCTTTTGCTGTAATTCTATAGTTATATATTTCCCATAGTAGAAGTGATATTTAAATGCAAAAGATGAGCTATTAATTGGAGGAAAGTTGTTGAGCTTACTTCTTAACTCAAATCCAGGGATGAAGTGAACACTGCTAAGAGAGCACATAAGGAGAGCTTAGCTACATATATTTAAAAGTCTCACTGTTGAATGAATGTCTTGCTTCACTTCTCCATAAGAAAAAGTGATTTGATATCATCTTCAAGGATTTTTTCTAAAGTGAGTTTTTAATGAAGAATGCATTTAATGCATTTAACTGGCACTTTATTGACTTTCATTTTTTCTTTATATGAATATTTTCATTGAAATTTAATTCTTTCTTAATTTCTCATACCTAACTATTAATTGGCTGTGTCATCTTGGAAGATTATTCCATTGTCCTCTGCCTCAGTTTTCCCTTCTGTGAAATGGGAAAGAAGTATACATCACATAGTAACTCTTAGGATTGTCTTTTAGTTGATTTTACCATCTCCAATTTCTGCTTCTTTGTAATTCTAGATAGGTCAAAATTAACTTACCTAAAACACCTCTAGTCTAATAAACACTTTGATCCTTTCTATTCCCTGAGAAATACAGTTCTGACTTTTCCTTCTGACACCTCCAGTTTCAGATCTAACTTAAGTGTTTGTACTCCACTGCTCAATTACTCATTCAGTGGGTTCCCCACAATGTGTGCCATATGCCTGTTTCAGGATACAGATTGTCATTCTGTCATTAGGTTTGCATCGCTTTGTATGGAGGGTTCCCAAATATATTTCCTTTCATAAAAATCTTGGATTTTTTCAACTTTTATTTAATAAATATAAATTTCCAAAGTACAACTTTTGGATTATAGTGGCCCTTCCCCCCATAACCTCCTTCCCACCCGCAACCATCCCATCTCCCACCCCTTCTCCCATCCCATTCTGCATCAAGATTCTTGAGGGTCAGTTCCAATACTGAAACCGCCATGTAGGCTTCTGTGTACTCCAAGCTACATTCTTTCCTGTTCAGAGCTCACAAAACATGGCAGTATTCTTCTTTCCACATGTTTATCACACTCTACCTTGTATTCTAGATAAGCTTACCTGCATATCTTTGTTGGAAGTTGCTGGGGCAGAGAATAGATTGTGTTTTACTATCAAGTCCTCTCTTACAACACATATCTAGAAGATTGTCTAAAAAAACTAGTTGGTTAGGGTGAAATTGCAGTATAACAGAAAAGGACGCAAGCATGTGAGTAAAAAAGACTTGAATTTGAAGATTAAATATTGTTTGACCCTGAGCAACCTGAGACCCAGTTTCCTCATCTTTAAAAAGGGTAATATTGTCATTTACTTTTCAGACTGGATGCAAGAAAATTAGATGATTCATATAAAGCATTTATAATATACCTGGATATAGTAGATGCTCAATATATATTTCCCTTTTTGTTGTATGTGGCAAATTGAGCTTCTTTTGCTGTCTGCCATTTAATGTATGGTGGTGCATGTGAGATGGGTCACTGAAAATCTGCTGGGAGACTAGACACCCAAATAACAGCATGTATTGTCTGGAGAAGAGATTAGCACTGTCTTTGGAAAAGATTCCCTAGCTTTATTATGGCAGGTGGGTGGCTCCTGCATTTGCATTTGCCAACTATTCCCTCTCAGTAATATCTCTGTCAACAGGACTGCTGGAGTTTAGAGTGGAGACAGTAGATGAACATGACAGTGACCCATAAACAAACAAATAAACAAAAGACTGTTGCCATCTTCATCTATTAAGTATTTATTCATTTAAGCAACAAGTATCTGAAGGCTTTAACTATGTGCAGATCACACTCATACATACACTATTGAATCTAAAACAGATCCAGTCCTC